ACCCAGTGCGGGGCAACTCGTGAGAGTTTACACAGGAGGCCTCTGTGCCAAACCGTGTCATAAGCGGCAGTCAATTCCAGGAAGACTGCTCCTATCTTTAGATTTTGTTAAAAATGATGTTAGAGAAAGATGGTCAAGGCCAAGACTTGATCACAGGTGTTATGTCCTTTCCTGAATCCTGCCTGTTTAATCTCCAAGACATCGTCCAGCTCTAGAGTGATTCCTTTGAGGATCCAACGCTCAAAACCCTTGAAACACTGTTTCACTTTGCAAAGGAAAGCCAACAAATAAATTTTTTGGGGGGAGGGGGACACGAGTGGGGGTTGAAGAGAAAATACTACATGAAAACAGACACACCAGAAGTATCTGTTAGACTAATAAATAGTTTAGGGCAAGAATTCATTAACATTGATCTAGAGTTAGGTTAGATTGAAACTTTTTTCCATTAGAACTTAAAGCAAAAAATGTTTGAGTTTTTAAGGGTCAAGCTAGTTTCTGCATTTATTTGGTTAACACCGAGAAAAATATACAAGGAAGAGAAAAATATACAAGGAAAAGAACATCATGCAAAAACCTTTCTATGCTATATTAGGGAGCTGCGTGTATGTTATGTGGAAAATTAATGTATTGTAATACAAACTTTCCAGCAGGTGGCAACCACTGCTTAGCTATCTCCTCGTTTCTTCTGTGGCTTGAGTGACACTTTCATATAGAAAATTGATTCAGTTATGGAGTAGCTGGTTGCTGCTTCATGGTTAAAGCTGAGTTGAGGTTTGCACTTTAATCAGAGATGTTCAACATCATTGTTACGTATGAGAAATATGCATATCTTGCCTATGTTATACAATTTTCAAATTGTGGAGAAATATGTTAACTAAAAAGTGTATTTTAAGAAGGAATATTGTTTAAATTTAGATGAAGAATGAACATGAAAACTGCCAAACTCTGTAAGTGATTGTGCTGTCATACTGTGTGCTGTTAAATGTTCTTCATTAAAACTTATTTCCAGTTCTGCATGTCTAAACTCTGCATTCCATATAATTAAAATTAGAATTTTAAAATCAAAATGCAGTCACTGCATTTAAAGTAGATTTCCTAAGCAATAAAATCTTCTCAACCTTGAATAAGGGTTTTCAATATGGCTTCCAGCATAACATATTCCATCCTCTCCTAAAATTCCTGCTAGTTGTCCTTTCCAAGAAAACCTAGGGACCTGTCTTGATTGATAAAAAGGGCGTGTTTTTCAACCAGGTTAGCTCAGTTGAGTTAGCTAAACATGACTGAAAAACCCTATTATGCTTCAGGCTAACATGTTTCCCTACTAGGCTACACCCAATTAACACAGCTTCAAACACAATTCTGATGTCTGACTCGGCTCATTTGCACAACTCAAGCAATTCAAAACAGCCAATTTCTGGCCACACTGGCCAGCTGATATTTTCCCTGTTATGGGAAGCTTTCAGATGGCATAAAACCATCGGTTAGCTCTCACACCAATTTCCCTTCCCTCTGGGGTATAGAGAATGTATCAGGGGAGGAAAAGGGACCACATGCAACCCAAGGACAATAAACCACAGGTATGAGTTCAAGCAACTTCTAGTCAGACTAGCTCAGAATCAGAGAGTTGTTGCCATATCCCTCGCTACCTTTGCTCTCTTGCACTGAATGGAGCTCAGATGCAGGAGAAAATCTAACCTGCTGGGTCTTAAAATTATTAAAATAGCCGTATTGATCCCAGTGTGTTGACTGCCATAATGTTTGTTTACACTTAAAAAGACTATCCAGAAACAGGCATGCGCACCCAGGGGTGAGTCAGTATACAGGAAAGGACGTGCGTCTTGACATGCATAAAGAAATCTGATGGGTTTGATATTTTTGGTACAGCGGTGTTGAATAAACTGTAGAGAATGCAGGTCTTGTCCTGCTACTCAGCAGTATTACAAAGAAAATGTATGTTGTTTAGGAGGTGGTCTGGCATGCTTCCTGCTTTTTACTACTGCTGTAAATCAGTGAACATTTTCTTTCCAGCGGCTGCTTAGGAAACCCCTGTATCTCATCTCCACCTCCTTAGCTTTAATTCCCTTTCAAAAGCGGAGTATTGATAATCCATTCTTCAAACCTTGGACGGCTGGATGCAATTTGCTCTAGATCCCATCAGTGTCACTTCTAGACTATGAAAGAATGGCACGAGGTGATCCATTTTCCCATCCTCCAATCCCCATGGCTGAGTGTTGCTGATTTTGTTCTACTAAACACAGTTCTACTGAAACACACTTGAGATGTATCTTGTTGGCGTGGTTATTAAAATGAGTAGGACGCGTGTTCGTTTTTAAAATAATAGTTCTCTAACTTTTTTCTTTTTCAGCCAGAAAACCTTGCACAGAAGCTTCCAAACCTCGTGGAATTGTGAGTGTGGAGTTTTGACCAACTTTATTATGCTAATCAGTGTCAAATTATTTAAAAAAAAAAAAAAAAAGAATGCTGTGTTTGTATACATTTTTCCTTTTCAGTATAATGTGGTTTTTTCTCCTGGGTAATAAAATCAGGTACTTTGACTACTAGCTACATTCAGGCCCATGCTGAAATTCCTTTCTGTGTCATAATTTCTTGTACAGATTGTGTTATGAGGGAATGTTGATTTCCTCCACCCCATGCGGTAAGAAAGGGGTGTGCACTGGTCTTCATACCAGAGCTGTGCACCTTGATCCAGCTGTGGGATTTGTTGTATTGTCCTTTTCAATTAGGTATAGCCCATTTGGGTAGTAGATGTATAATACATTTTTTGAGCCCTACATTTGATGTAGTTCACCAAACAACCATCATGCAATAGAACTGAACTTTAAATATGCTTTCTCTCCTTACCTCCCATACTGCTTTATGACAGCTATGACCTGATCTTAATGGATGGTTTGGTAGTGCAATGTGTTTTTGAAGTACATACTGTAAATTCAAACTTAAAGGAAGCATGGGGTGTTTGAACACTATAAGTTATCTGCCTGAGCTTGTCTTCTCAATTTGGCTGTTAAAACCGCACCTTTCTAGGACTCGTGTCCACAACATAGTTTAACTGTTTTGTAGGTCATTGCGGTCTCCAGCTTGCTGAAGAGACAATCTTGCCTCATCTTGCCCTATATTTTTGGTTCACATACACTGGAACAGTGAAACAACTTTCTTGTATTTGATATATTTAAGAGTGTTTGACATTTTGCCACAAGGCATCAAGAACTTTTAATATTATCTGATAATGCCTTTAGAAGAGCAAGCCTAAAATTGCTTGGAGGAGGTTAATTTAAGAAGCAGCAAATAAGGAAAAGAAGTCTATTTAATATATATTTAATAGATTTAGTTATCTCACGACCACCAAGCTTTGTTGTGCTACCATTATCCCATGTATTTGGTATGTAGGTAATTGCAATTGTTCTGCAGCTTCTGTAGTTCAAGTAACACAATTTAAATCGTTAGTTGAGATAATAATTGCTTTGGGGCTAGAGCAGAAAATGAAGTAAAAAGAAACAATAAAATATACAGATTTTATTTTAAAAAGAATAATTTGCCAATAGGTTCATATTTAAAATGCTGATTTGTTACTGTAAATATACCTCCTTTACTTTAGAGCAGTGTTTCCTATACTCTTGAAAGCTGAGCTCCCCTTCAGGAAAATGAAATGGAATATATCCCCCTTGCAATATCACCATGTGTTTTTAAATATCTACTCATCTTAGTGTAATTACTTTCCATGCTTCCCACCAGGGGTGCACCCCTCACACAGAGAAACTTTTTTTTGGTGTAGAGCTTTGTAATGATACTTCCGCTTTCTTATGTGCTTTGAGCAGTGAAATACTTTCAGTCTCAACATTAATGATCATACTTACCATCCACTGAAATGAGTGGGAGAGTTCACACTTTGGAGCTATTGTTTCAGGCTGTCTTCAAACACAGGCAGACATCTCCGCATAAGTTACACATGGTTTCCATTGTGAAAGTATTCTTCACAACCACAAGCACGAAGGACATACTTTTAAAAAACAGAAAACTGAGACTCTACAGAACAATTGAAAAGTCTGTATCCTCACTTCACCAGTTAGATCTTCCCAGAGGGAGACAACCCTGCTTTTGGGAAACATTGTTTCACAGTATAATGGAAAAATTGCTTGTTCAAATCTTTTACACGCATGCTTAAATCATCAGAGTACTCATTATCTTTTGAGAATAGACAAGGTAACTCTATTTTCAGATATTGATTGCTCGCCTACAAACTTTATATAGTCTTTCTGTTTTCAAGCAGAACTTTACAGTTTAAAAGATATGGATTAAGCTGTTCTCAAATTGTAGTAATTTTGGGTGTTCACCACCAGGGAGCCCTAAATGCACTTTAAAATAGCTACTGAAACTTGTCTGGACTTGTCACTGTATATACTGGTTGAAAATTGCTTTTGTAAAATTTAATTTAGTACTTTACATTTAAAAAAAAAAATCTCATTATCATGACAAGTAGATTCTGCATGCTTGTGTAAGTGTACATAGTTGATTTATTTGTTTGTTTTTTTCCTGTACACAGCAGGAGAGGACCTATGGCAGAATTTAGTGCAATCTGGTGACTCCTGATTTATTTTTTCTACCTGAATATTTTGTTGTTATGAAGAAATATTGCATACAACAGCTTGAAATAAAACAGTTGCGAGTACAATGATCATGTGCATCACATTTGAGTATTGTAATAATCATCAGCTAAGACATTCTTGACCTTAATTTCTGTTCATGATTTAAATAGGTTATAAGTGAAACCTCAGAATATGTTAATTAGTGTTGTACAATTTACTGTCATGCTCAGAAAGAGAAATGTCTGTGAAGGTTTTTTTCTCTTCCAATTTCAGATTGAACATTTTGCCAACTGATTATCTAACCAAAGTCCTTGAGGGTAACAGGTGTTGTTGTTTGTTCTTTTCCCCCCAGGTACCTTCATTCAAATAACATAGTTGTTGTACCTGAAGGTAAGTGCCCTATTAGCTTCAAAATAACTGGCAGAAACTATCAAATATTTTATTTTATTCAGTAAAAAAGGCCTGTTTTCCTTGTGTTCCCATGAAATTCTAAAGATATCCACAGAAATACACCTCTGTAGTCCTTAGAATGTTGATATCCTTGCTTGTACTATGTTAAACTATTTTATTAAACTTTCAGATGCATCTACATGTTGTTCGCTCTAGTTCCAATTACAGGAAGTGAAAAGACTAAATGGCACTTATCAATAAAACAACTCTCCAGGATCATTCCTGCTCGCTAAGCCAATTATTACATAAAATACTTTCATTTTGCTTGGTCATGATTGGTAGGTTTAAACCTAAAGCATCAATAATTGCATTGATCTCTCTATTCCTTTCATTTTATTGTGGCGCAAACATGTCCTACCTTCAGAAAAGAAAACTTTAAATTCCCAGTCTGGGGTGAGTAAATCAGATAAAGGTGATGGCAAAGAAAAGTAAAAAGTAGTTTCATGGGAGTAGAATCATGGTTGGAATAATATTAAAATCTATGGTCTCTTATGTGTGATTTATTTTTTTTCATATTTCTATACCCCCAATACTGCTTGTTATCAATAGAAGCGCTTACAAATACTTAACTCCCATGACATTCAGTTATGAGACCAATGGTTTTAATACCTCACAGTCTGCTCAGATATAGGAATTAGATATTGAGGCCTTCTATCATCTCATAGTCCTATTAAGGTTTTAACATTACTCCTGGGTCACATTCATTTTTTTTGTCTCTATTCTCTCACTAGCTATTGGCTCCTTGGTTAAACTGCAGTTTCTGGACCTAAGTGACAATGCTCTTGAAATTGTGTGCCCTGAGATCGGCCGCCTGAGGTCTTTACGTCATCTTCGATTGGCCAACAACCAACTGAAATACTTACCTGCAGGTGAGGGGTTCAGAGCAGTGACAAATGGATCTGGCCTAAAACTAAATTTGTGCATGTATTTACAATGTGCACTTCGATTCTGCGATTTGAAAAAAAGGCTGATGCAAGTAAATTTTAGAGCAGAATGGGCAGGGGGACTGTTATCCTCAGTTTTATATAGCGCCAAACATACTCTGTGTTTAGCAAATAAAAAGTGGTAATTTTCCTAGTAGCATGCTATTTCTGATGGTGGACTTCGGATAGAAAAATGTCTGAAGGATTCTTTTTTCATATGGATCTTCTATGATATTCTTTGCTATTGTATCAATAATATTTCAAGCTTCTTGAAGGAGACATAAAACGCTAACAACAAACTTCACATTGACAAAACGACCTTAATTCCTGTTTTACAGAATTTAAAGGATTCAGTTCTTCTCTTACTCTTATGTCGCAACTCTCCCATGTCTATGGTCCCTAAAGAGACACTACTTCTGTAGCTTTGCCTGTAGTTTATTTACCTCACTGTGGCAATAGATGACAAATTTTGGTCTAATGACTTGATTAAAAAAAGCAAGTATTGTCCAAGAGAAATCTGACACACCATTAGAAAAAGATTGACCCTTGGCGGTTTTTCAATGGCTTTATTTTGTTTCTTGCTTATCAAAGCATTTAAAAGTAACTTTCCCCCAAATGAAGCTGTTTTCTTGTCAGGTTGTTTTTTAAAACCTTGCTTTGTTTTTTACTGTGTTTTGATCTGTGCAGAAGATAGCGTCTAAGGTCAGCATTTCAAAAAATGCTTTACTTAATCTAACTGGATTAGCTTTTGGCTGGAATTTTAACTAAATTTTGAACATGTCCTTCATATGTTTGCAAAACACAAATTTTGCATTCTTTAGGAAGATTTCTTAAAGCTTTGAGCACAGAAATTGAGCTGTCCTTTGCCTCTGTTTTTTCAGCTGTAATAAGGTAAGCTTTACAGACTAATGCAAAAAGTGGTGGTGATTAGAAATTATAAATGTACACAACTCTGTATGTAATGAAATTACATAAACCTGTAAACATTATGACACAAAGCAAGTAAAATTTTCATCAGCTTTCAGATAGATGCTTCTTTCTTTTGAGTTTGCATGAGTATGCTTGTGTTCCTTATAGATAACTTACCTTGTGGTGTCATACCATGAAAGAAAGACTTGTTCAAAGAAAAACTGACACATTTCCTGCAAAACTTCACACACAAACTTAAAAAGGTTCCAAAAAAGGAGACTTTGAAAAGGGTAATTTACATTACTGAAGGGTTGATTGTGTCTACCACGTTTGATTAGGAACTAGTGTTACTGTGCAGGCAAGCTGCATTTATTTCCTTGTGAATTATATGAAATTTTGGATGTTAAGCGTCCTTATTTTGTGCACTCAAAGCCTTGGGTGCATGAA